TTTGGTTGTTACAACTCAGACGGGAGGTGCTGCTGGCATCTAGTGGGTAGAGGTGGGGGACACTACTGAACATCCTATGAGGAAGGCACAGGACAGACCTTACAACAAGAAATGATCTGCCTAAAATGTCAGTAGTGCAGAGATCGAAAAACTCTGAGCTTATTATAGCCCAAAGTTGCTGGGATTTCACTTTTTTTGTTTGCTAAAGTTTTGTTTCCTTGTTGGATTGTCCTTGACTTTTGCAAAGTAAAACTATATTGTGTTATGAGACTGTACACATCACTTCAGCCTTTTATTTTAGATTTTAATTGAGGCAAGAGGGAGGATGTTCTTTTATTCAGTCTCAAGTGTGGGATTAATTTAATGTTGTCGGAAGTAAATATGGAACAAAGAATTTTTTTACCTTGATGCATCTAAGAACATGATTTTCTTAAGATTGAGCCTGAGGCCAGTATTATCTTCACTTGGGATTTGGGTATACCTTGTACTAAATTTCAGAATGAACTCTGAGTAACAAAGAGGAAGTATTCTATCAGATTTTAACTTTAGAAAGTTTCAGATACTCTGCCTTATCTGAGTTAACTCTTAATCCTAAAATTTGGCTTGTATTTGCTTCTCTTTAGTGCCTAATGACTATGGGCAGGATTTGAAAAGTGGTACTTAAACTTAATCCTCAGGTACTGGTAGATAGTAAACAGCAGAATAATGAGAGAAAGGGAATTCATGTGCTAATTCCAGTATACCGTCTACTTTCTTCTTGAGCTCTGGCAGTCTCACTGTACTCTGGGTACCTGTGTGTATGTGTTGTGTACAAGCACTCTGGAGTGTTGGTTCATGCCTGCCTTCCTTCACTCAATTTACAGTGATAGAAGCTAAAGGGGTTTGGGTTTTCTAGTAAATGGAAGGAAGTAAATATCAGTAGTGATACTTGAATTTCAAAATGATAAAAGTTGATCCTCGTTGCTTTTCAGTGTTTTTGTTTACTTGCTTTTTTTTTTTTAAAGATTTTAACTCATTTTCATTCTTTAGAATGCTAACAGTAAGCTAGAGCTCTAGGCAGACTTAAAATTTAATATTTGTTAGAAAACAGTTTTACGGAAGGAAATGGATCCTAGCAATAACCCATGCTATCATAGGTTAATTCTACCAGCTTCCTTTTCTTGAATTTGTTTTCTCTAGTGACTCTTCATGGGCTTTCTTACATAAAAAGTTCTCATAAAAGCCTTAAGTTTTGAATTAGTTCTATTTTCAATTGGACCTTAGGATCGGTTCCTGCTTTAATTCAGTGTTATTCCCACAGTTGGCCAGGAGAGGGCACCTAAAAACTTTTTGCTTCAATACAGTTCTGAATTAAGTACCTCATTTGGAATAATATTTTAATTTAACTAGATTACAGTTGTTTACTATTTGCTTGATAATACATTTTATGAAGCATTTGAGCCCTGAAAGAATTACAAGTATTCAGAAAGCTTTATCATTATTCAGTCATAATGTATTTAATTTATTAAGCATTGTATTTAATTCACTGAATGTGTATTGAGGATTTGAGGAGTGTAAGACACTGTGTTAGACATGGGGGATACAGCAAGCATCGACCTCACCCTCAAGCAGTCTTTCAGACTGTTCAGTATAGTAGTGGTTTCATTGAAGAAGAATTAAATAAAAGCCAAGGCATTCTTATTTTTGTAATCATGTTGTCAACCTTGAAATTAGATATAGGATTAAGGTTCTGAGAGACCCTGGAGATGAAGTACTCAAATTCCCTTTCTCATAGATATAGAAAATGAGGTTCCAGGAGTTGACAAACTTAGTGCATCAACAAAGTACAACTTCATAGAAACAAATGACCATGGTTATAAACATGAGATGGTTTAAAATTGTCTAACATGAAGTTTACAGTTCACGGTGTTTGTTTATTTTTGGACAACAGAAAAGATGAACTGCTCAGAAGTCCTGTGTAAAATTAATACTAGTTATCAGTGTTCATCATGTGCTAGGTTCTGTAGGGTGGTGTGCAGTAATTATTTATCCACCACTAACAGAATAAAGTAGGTATTGTTCTTCTCATTCTAAAATTTATTGAGCCATAATATGTGTCAGATTAAGTATTTAACTTACAATATCTCATTTGAGCTTCTGAGAAAGCCTATGAGGTAATTATTATTGCTCCATTTACTGATAACAAAACTGAGATCTAGAAAGTTATGTGACTTCCCCAAGGCTGTTCACCTAGTATTAGAGTTAGGATTTAGATCAGGTCTACTTGACTCCATAGTCTCTGCCCTCATCACCTGGCTTATGGTTTTATTAGGAAATTCTGCCCTCTAATATCATGTATTCTAGTTTTGTGCTTTTCAGTTAAAATAGTGGAACCTAAATGTGGATGGCAAAGGATTTTGTCAGGTATTTTGATGGCATTCATCAGTGAGCTTGAGGTGTAGAGTAGGAGAAATGAGCCACTAGAAGAAGAATAGATTTTTTAAATTCTTTAGCCTGAATGATTTGAGGATTAAAAACAAAGGCTTTGCCAAGTATATAAGCTAGTAGCATATATTGTGTGAGAATCTGCCAGTATACAACAACTTCAAATATTTAAGTCTGGGTTAAATATTTACTCGGTATCTATGTACCAGATACTGTCCTTGGTGCTCGAGTACAAAGGATGCCATACTTGCCCTCAAGGTGCTGAAATCTATATACTTACTAGGGGAACTCATTTTTCTACACCCAACTAACTATAGTAAAGGAGTAGTCCAACTCATTGCTGCATGAGTGACAAGAACAAAATACTAAGGCAGTGGGGGGAAGCAGTTGTTTTTTACGTTTTTTTATTTTTATTTTCACTTTTTAAAATTTTTAATTGAAGTATAGTTGATTTACATTGTTGCGTTAGTTTCTGGTGGGCAACATAGTGATTCAATTATACATTTATACATATGTATTCTTTTTCATCATAGGTTATTACAGGATATTGAAAATAATTCCCTGTCTATACAGTAGGACCTAGTTTGTTTTATATACAGTAGTTTGTATTTGCAAATCCCAAACTCCTAATTTATCCCTTTCCTTCTTCCCCTTTGGTAATTATAAGTTTGTTTTCTATGTCTGTGAGTCTCTTTCTGTTTTATAAATAAGTTCATTTGTGTCTTTTTTTTAGATTCCACATATAAGTAATATCATATTGTGCCTTTCTTTTTCTGACATACTTTACTTAGTATGATGATCTCCAGGTCCATCCATGTTGCTGCAAAAGGCATTTCATTTTTTTTATGGCTGAGTAGTAGTCCATTGCGTATATATACTACAGCTTCTTTTGTCGGGGGGAGGTGGAGGTTATTAGGTTTATCTAATTATTATTATTTTTTTAATGGAGGTGCTGGGGATTGAACCCAGGACCTTGTGCATGCTAGGCATGTACTCTACCACTGATCTATACCCTCCCCTGCTACTACAACTTCTTTATCCATTCATGTGTTGATGGACATTTAAGTTGCCTCCATGTCTTGGCTGCTGTAAATAGTGCTGCTGTGATCATTGGAGTGCATACATCTTTTTGAGTTAGAGTTTTCTCTAATATATGCCCAGGAGTAGGATTACTGGGTCATACGGTAACTCTTTTTATTTTGTTGGTTTTTTAAGTAACCTCTATACTGTTTTCCGTAGCAGCTGCACCAGATTACATTCCTACCAACATTGTAAGAGGGTTCTCTTTTCTCCATACCCTCTCCAGCATTTATTTGTGGACTTTTTAACGATGGCCATTCTGACTGGTTTGAGGTGATACCTCATTGTAGTTTTGATTTTCATTTCTCTGATAATTAGTGATATTAAGCATCTTTTCTTGTGCCTGTTGGCCATCTGTATGTCTTCACTGGAAAAATATCTGTGTAGGTCTTCTGCCCATTTTTCGATTGGGTTGTTCACTTTTTTTTTTTACTGAGTTGTACAAGCTGTTTGTATATTCTGGAAATTAAACCGTTGTCAGTTGCATCGTTTGCAGATATTTTCTCCCATCCATGAGTTGTCTTTTCATTCTGTTTATAGTTCCTTTGCTGTGCAAAAGCGTTTAAGTTTAATTTGGTCCCATTAAAAAATTTTTGCTTTTATTTCTATTGTATTGATAGACTGACCTAGGAAAACATTGCTAAGATTTATATTAGAGGGGAGGGTATAGCTCAGTGGTAGAGTGCGTGCTTAGCATGCACGTGGTCTTGGGTTCAGTCCCCAGTCCCTCCAGTAAATAAATAAATGAATAAACCTAATTACCTCCCCCCTGGCAAAAAAAAAAAAAAGATTTATGTTAGAGAATGTTTTGCCTATGTTCTCTTCTAGATTTATGGTGTCCTGTCTTATGTTTAAGTCTTTAAGCCATTTTGAGTTTATCTTTGTGTATGGTGTAAGAGAGTGTTCTAATTTCATTGATTTACATGCAGCTGTCCAGCTTTCACAGCACCACTTATTGAAGAGATTGTCTTTTCTCCATTGTCCATTCTTGCCTCCTTTGTGAAATATTAATTGACTGTAGGTGTGTGGGTTTATTTCTGGGCTCTCTCAAATGGAATGTAACCTTTAAAAATTATGAATCACTATGTTGTACACTTAAATTTTATGTAATATTGTGTATCAACTATACCGCAATTAAAAATGTGTGAGTGTGTGTGTGTATATATATAAATATAAATATAAATATATATATATTTATATATATATGTAGTGGGAAAATCTCTAAAAAATAAATTTTATTGGCCAGTTTGGGCAAGAGATCTTGGGTTAATACCTGTTTATTATTTGACTTATGTGAATTACTAACTTTTCACTCTTCTTAGCCTTCAACAAACTAGCTCTTTGTGGTTTTTTATGTAATAATGGTCTCTGTTAATGAATACATGTAGAATGTTTCCACTTGTGATCCTTAAATATTTCCCATCAAAATTGAGGTCATGTTGCTCAGAAAGATAAATAAGCTCTGGAAAAGATTCTGAGTATCCATTGTTTTACAGGTTTCTTTCAGCTCACAACATTTTACCCCAATCACATATCCACACAAGTACGTCTCTTGAAATATCTCGAAAATGGGAGAAGAAGAATAAAATTGTTTATCCTCCACAATTGCCTGGAGAACCTCGGAGACCAGCTGTAAGTTTGTGGGGAGAAATAATCCCTTGGTTTTGATAAAGTGCTCTTACTCTCACTCAATAAAGCAATGGTTTATTTTTCCATGTTGAGAAAAGAAAGAATTATATAGCAATTTACTTGATCCTTTAATTGATACAGAAAATGTTCTAGATTTATTATTTTGGTAGTTTAAAAAGATCATCTTTGACTTATTTGCTTGCCTTTGACATAACCTCCTGGATAGGGACCTTAACTCTAAAACTAAGCTAATAGCTTGGGATTGAGTTTGATTTTTTGACTCCCAGAGGCTTGATAATGGATTCTTGATAATGGAGCATGAGAAGTTGACAAGAGTGGCTTAAACCATCGGCCAGTATTTAAATCATATATACGGTTTTTCAGTATTTTATATTTTAACATAGACACTCTTGGTTGTGGGATTTTTCTTTCTTTTCTTTTGTATTTCACAAAAATTTGAAGCTGAGGTTTGAATTTAATCATTAGATTCCTTCCAGAGATATCTTTTTTCTTCTAGAGTTTTATCTTTAGCTGCTCAGAATCCTTTTATGTTCACCACACTGCTAGAGATTGCTCTAGTCTGAGATAAAAGACTCATTTCTAGCCTAATGTAAATTTTCTCTGGGATGCATACACATTGGTTAAAAAGTTTAAATAAGTAATAATAGCATAAACAGGATGGGAACATTTGAATCCTTAAAATAGACTGTGATAAGTACTTTAGAAATAGAACAATTGGGTTAATTATAAATCAGTTCAGCAAACATCTTTTAATGGCCTTTGGAATTTAACGCTACTAGACAGTATCATCTAAGTAATGTCATTTGCTTAGGTTTTCTATGAACTTGATGGCATGCATTTCATTAAAATTCAATTGCTGTCTAGATACTAGTCTGAATTAACTTAGTTTTATGGGGTTTTTTTCTTTTTTTTCTTATTTAAGGGAGTTAATTTTTTTATTTACAGACCTCCCAGATGTTTGGGAACTAAGAAGAAAAAGAGATTCTGATAGTTTAAACAAATATTTTTTCTTAACACCTTTATTGTGGTACGGTTCCTGTACAGTAAACTGCACATATTTCAAATGTACAATTTGATGAATTTTGATAGATGTTTATATACCAATGAAACCACCACCACAATCAAGATAGCTAACATTTCCATCACTCCCCAAGAGGTGCAATTTTCAAATTCCCAATTTGTCCCTTCCCACTTCCTGTATTACCCCGGATAACCATGAGTTTGTTCTCTATGTCTGTGAGTCTGTTTCTGTTTTGTAGGTAAGTTCCTTTGTGTCCTTTTTTTAGATTCCACATATAAGCAATATCATATGGCATTTTTCTTTCTCTGTCTGGCTTACTTCACTTGGAATAATAATCTCCATGTTCATCCATGTTGCTGCAAATGGCATTATTTTATTTCATTTTTGTGGCTGAGTAGTATTCCATTATATATATATATATAATGTATATATACATATACATACATATATATATAATGTATATATACATATACATACATATATATGTATATATATATATACATAATATATATATATATGTATATATATGTATATGTATATGTGTGTGTGTGTGTATATATATATCACATCTTCTTTATCCAGTAATCTGTTGATGGACATTTGGGTTGCTTCCATGTCTTGGCTTTTGTAAATAGTGCTGCTGTGAACATAGGGGTGGATGTGTCTTTTTGAATTATATTTTTCTGTGGGTATATGCCCAGGAGTGGGATTGCTGGATCATATGGTAAGTCTGTTTTTAGTTTTTTAAGGAACCTCCATACTGTCCTCCATGTGGCTGCACCAATTTACGTTCCCACCAACAGTATAGAAGGGTTCCTTTTTCTCCATACCTTCTCCAGCATTTTTCATTTGTGGGCTTTTTAATGATGGCCATTCTGACTGGTGTGAGGTGTTATCTCATTGTAGATTTGATTTGCATTTCTCTTAACAATTAGTGACGTTGAGCATCTTTTCACAGGCTTATTGGCCATCTGTATGTCTTCTTTGGAGAGATGTCTATTTAGGTCTTCTGCCCATTTTTTGATTGGGTTGCTTGTTTTTTGATATTAAGTTGTATGAGCTGTTTGTATATTTTGGAAATTAGCCCCTTGTCGGTCGCATTATTTACAAATATTTTCTCCTACTCTGTAAGTTGTCTTTTCGTTTTGTTGATGGTATCCTTAGCTGTGCAGAAGCTTTTAAGTTCAATTAGATCCGTTTGTTTGTTTTTGCTTTTATTTCCATTACTCCAGGAGCTGGTTCAAAAAAATATGTTGCTGTGATTTATGTCCAAGAGTATTCTGCCTATGTCTTCCTCTAGGAGTTTTATATTATCTGTCTTTAATCCATTTTGAGTTTATTTTTGTATATCATGTTAGAAATGTTCTAATTACAGCCTCTTACAGGTAGCTGTCCACTTTCCCAGCACCACTTATTGAAGAGACTGTCTTTTTTCTATTGTATATTCTTACCTCCTTTGTTGTAGATTAATTGACCATTAGTGTGTGAGTTTATTTCCTGACAGTCTTTCCTGTTCCATTGATCTGTGGTCTATTTTTGTGTCAGTACAGTACTCTTTTGATTAATGTAACTTTGTAGTATAGCCTGAAGTCAGGGAACATAATTCCCCTAGCTCTGTTTTTCTTTTTTCAAGATTGTTTAGGCAATTTGGCTATATTTTGTGTTTCCTTACAAATTTTAACATTTTTTGGTTCCAGCTCTTTAAAAACTGCCATTGGTGATTTGATAGGGATTGCATTGAATCTGTATATTGCCTTGGGGTAGTGTGGCCATTTTAACAATATTGATTCTTCTAATCCAAGAACATGGTATATCTTTCCATTTGTTTATGTCATCTTCAGTTTCTTATTTATTATTTTTAACTTTTTTTTTATTTTGGGGGAAGAAGTAATTACGTTTATTTATTTTTAGGGGAGGTCCTGGGTTCAATGCCCAGGACCTCATGCATGCTAAGCATGCACTCTACTGCTTGAGCTATACCCTCTCCCCTTGTCTTCAGTTTCTTTCATAACTGTCTTATAGTTTTCAGAGAACAGGTCTTTGGCGTCCTCAGGTGGGTTTATTCCTAGGTATTTTATTCTTTTCGGTGTGGTGGTAAATGGTATTGTTTCCTTTATTTCTTTTTCTGCTATTTCATTGTTAGAAATACAACTGAATTGTGTATATTAATTTTGTATCCTGCAACTTTACCAAATTTGTTGATGAATTCTAGTAGTTTTCTGGTCGCTTCTTGAGAGTTTTCTATGTGCAGCATTATGCCATCTGCAAACGGTGACAGTTACTTTTTCATTTCCAATTTGGATTCCTTTTATTTCTTTTTCTTCTCTGATTGCCATGGCTAGGACTTCCCAAAGTACGTTGAATAAAAGTGGCAAGGGTGGACATCCTTGTCTTGCTCCTGCTTAGAGGAAATGCTTTCAGCTTTTACCCATTAAGTAGGACGTTAGCTGTGGGTTTGTCATATATGGCTTTATTATGTTGAGGTATATTCTGTCTGTGCCCACTTTCTGGAGAGGTTTTATCATAAACGGATGTTGAATTTTAGCAAAAGCTTTTTCTACGCCTATTGATGATCATATGGTTTTTATTCTTCAATTTGTTAATGTGGTTTTTCACATTGATTTATTTGCTGATATTGAAAAATTTTTGCATGCCTAGGATAAATCCCACTTGATCATGGTGTATGATCCTTTTAATGCGTTGTTGGAGTCCATTTGCTAGTATTTTGTTGAGAATTTTTGCATCTATATTCGTAAGTGATATTGGCCTGTAAATTTCTTTTTTGTGTTAGCTTTATCTGATTTTGGTATCACGGTGAAGATGGCTTCATAGAATGAGTTTGGAAGTGTTCCTTCCTCTGCAATTTTTTGGAATAGTTTCAGGATAGGTGTTAACTCTTCTTTAAATGTTTGGTAGGATTCATCTGTGAAGCCATCTGAAAACAAACTTAAATTTTCATACTTTTTTATGCCATAAGATCTTAGAAGTTTGATTTGTCCCAGAATTGGTGCTAAGTGTTGGCTCCCTTTTGTAATCAACCAAAATTTAGAAAAAGTTATACCTTTTTACAAATATCATAAATAAAATATTTTCTGTAATTAATGAGCTTTCTTCTGTCTTGAGCTCCTTGGACTTAGGTATTAATTGGAAACTAAGAAATCATAACAGTATCTGTCAGGTCTAGAATCTAAAAGCAAAATTTTTATTTTGTAGTACTAGTCTTTTTGGATGTTAAAACAAACGTACTTCAGGCTGCATCCCAAATAGCAAAATTCATTTAGTTAGCAGTAGATCATCTATTTAACCCTAGCAAATGAAGAACAGTACTGATTGGATCATTTGTTATATACTGTAATTTACTGGAACATTTTGGTTAACCTTTTTGCGTCTATATACTCCTTAGTGCCTGTATGAAGACATTTGGTTTGATTTTATGTAGGCACTTTGGAGAAACCCAATTTCTCTGTTTTGCACAGATTTTTGTTTGAAGGAATAATCCTTTTTTGGGACAAATTAAGACTTGGAAAATACATTAACATTTTCTGACTTTAAATAGTATTTGGTAAATTGATACTGATGTGTCAGTTATTCATGACTGTTATGACTGAAATATTAATGCCCTTCATAAATACCTTGTTTACTAGCAGGGAGTAGTTTGCTCACTTAGCCACATAGTTTATACACTGTGCCATTATGTGCAGCGGCCCCTAGGCTTTCCAGCCTGCTAGCTGCAGACATTTAAAAAACCAGTTTTATCTCTTGTTTAAAAGAGGGCCAGGTAGTGTTTATCACTCTACCTCATTCTGATCTTCATCATTTAGAATATGCTGTTAAACAAATCATGGTGAATGGAGCAGTGTGTAAATCTGATAGCGGTAAGTTAAAATGAATGTCACCAATTTAGATTAGTCCTGTTATTTTTAAGACTATCTTCCTAGTTTAGCTAGCACCAGTTTCCAGACAGTGTAGATTCATATGTGGACTTTATCTCACAAGTGGCTTCATCATGGTGAAGAAAGTGAGCCAGAGAGAAATGAAAAGGCTTTCTTTGTAATAGTCAAAACTTGTTAAATTGGGCTTTACTTTATGGTATCTTTGAAGAAACCTATGTTAAATAAATTGAAAGCGTCCTGAGACTGTATCAAAACTATTTGAACAGTCATTTCTATAAGAGGCATGTTTTTAATTTGTGGATTAATTGACATACTGATAATGCGTGATCCTTATGAGTCACTAATGTGGATCCCATGAGATTCTAGAGCTTTAGTTAGATGACTTTTTTTTTGTTACTTGTGTTATTATGTGCAGTTAAAAATAAATTAACTTGTTTAAAAGTTACTGGTTTAGACATTTCATAATTTAGACTTACTTTTACCTCATTTGAATAACTGTTTTACACGTTACATTGTAATGTAACTTTACCTAATTTTGCCGTGTAGGTTAATTAATAGCAGTGATATTTAACCAGGCCTTCTGACCTCAAACCTTGCCACTTAATTTATTTCCTGTGGTAGATTTATTTACTGAGACTTCAGTTTATCTTTAGAAAGTCCCCTTAGTCATTGTATCTGCCCAAAGTACGTGTTAAGCTCTAGTTTTTGAAAAGGATGATTGAATAACTCTCCCCTTTTTTTGTAAACAGTTGCTTTCTTTTTTCTCAGTGTTTTGTCAGGATTACAAGTATCTTTTTTAAAAATTTGAGGATAGTGAGTAGAGGGTATAGTTCAGTGGTAGAATGCATGCTTGGCTTGCATGAGGTCCTGGTTCAATCCCCAGTGCCTCCTTTAAAGGGGGGAAAACATTAGAAAACAATTTGAGGATAATCATGTACAATTCGGATTTAAAGATACCCCACCGTGACAAACCAGGAGTTGAAAGTTTTCTATATAAAAGATTTTATAGAGTGTATTAATTTTTTGCAGATTAATATTATCAGTCATGACGGTTCTTCTTTCCTCTCCCTGCTCCCCAGAACACTTTATTGCTGAAAATGTAATTAGGCTATTGCTACAGTTTTCAGCTTGTCAGCTTCTATTGCAGCTGAAATGAAATCTGCTGCATGTTAAAAGTATGGCCACTTGAGAAAGCTCTGTTACTTCTAAGGGCATTTGGAAATTTCCGGCAGGAGTCAGAATGTTAGAAAGTTCTGAGTTTTTTCTGCTATTATTTGCCTTGAAAAATGTTTTCTAATTTTTTTCAAGTGTCAGTATGCTGTAGTAGTGGGAAGAATGTGGGTTTTAGAGTCCCAAGGGGGAACTTTAAAGATACACTGGCCAGAAATTGTATTAGGCCCTTCACATACTTCCTTGGGTGGCACTAGCTTTGTCTCGTACTTTGCAATCTTGGACAATTTATTTGATTTCTCTGATTTTCATTTTGTAAAAGGTTTATAAAATATTTTCTCTCCCAACTCTCAGAGTTAGATCATATGAAATAATAGGCTTGAGAAGTGCTTGATGAACTATAAATTGTTTAATGGATGATTGATTAAAAGATTCAATAGGATATACCTACTACTATAAATAGAAGGTAATAGGAGCTAACATTTACTAAAATCTTACCCACTGTAAAGTACTTTATTTACATAGGTTACTTCATTTAATCCTTTTTAGAGTTTTATATGTTTGGTACTGTTATCTTCATTTTAAAGAAGAAACTTAGGCAGAGAGAGGTTGAATAGCCTGGGTTTTGTAGCTGGTAAATGGTAGAGTTGGGATTCAAACCCACATAGTCTGATTCTAGAACCTATGCTCTTGACCAAACACGTAGAATACTGGTTTTCTTATGAAAATAGTTATTTTGTCCATTTCACCATTGTTCTCCTAACAAGGGACTTTTTTCTTAATGTACCTTTTCTTTTGTTCTTTTAGCCAGGTAAATGTTTTCAAAAATACTTTCATTTAAATCTTTTACTATGCCTCTGGATAGCAATGTTGCAAATATTGGCACCCTCTAGCCATTTTATAGTTGTTTCTCTCTTAGTAACCTTTATAATATAGTGAGACTTTGGAAAAATGTAACTTTACAAATTCTTAATAGTTTTTAATTTCTTATGGCAGCATTTTCACTAGGCATAGAAACTAGAAACTTTATTAACAGTGTGTTACTGTCATTTTGATAAACTTGTTTTTTTGTTCTCTTCCCGTTTTAAGGAAATCTACCATTGTCGAAGACAGATAAAGTACAGCAAAGACAAGATGTGGTATTTGGCAAAATTGGTAAGCTAAAATGCCTACACTTAGGCAAAGGAGCCACAGATTTTGTCCCAGGAAATTTGGAAAAGCAAAAAAACCTGTCCTGATTTCTCGAGAAATTGAGGAATATAATTGCATTTTCAGACATTTGGTTGGTAATCCAAAAAGGATAGCTCAGAGATGAGTGGTTTTGCTTAATTTTTACCTTTGGGTAAACTAAACCATGTTGGATCCATAGATATTTAGAACAAAGGTATCAAAAACTTGGCTACAGTTTAAGAATCCAGGAAGCAAATTCAGCCTATTTCAAAACTATTGACTTTTTTTAAGTTTTTCCCTTGGAAAATGAAATTTATATATGAGAGAATACAAAAGCACCAAATATACTTGTAATACATTTATTCTATAGTAGATATCTCAAATGCCTAGTGTGGTCCTTGCCAACCTGTAGTCTTTCTCTGTTATGTCTGCTCTCTTTTTTATTATCACTGAAACCATTATAATCCAGGTTTTATTGTTAAAATGTTTTAAGTCTGATTTTGACTTAGAGTGGTGGCATCCCTTTTCAAACTTGTTTTCTTCCTTTTTGCCTGCATTTAGTTAGCTATTTTTATACTTAATGAAAAAGGTTTTCCCCATCTTATTGAGGAATAAGTAACATGTAACTAGTTAGTTATTTTTAGAAATTATTTGAATTATGTAAGGTTCTTTTCATTGAAAAGAGAACACTGACTTTATAAACTAATTTATTTTCTCTTGTTTGTTACTCATTAATTCTAGATACGAGGAATGTCCATTGACCAGGCTCTGGCTCAATTGGAATTCAGTGACAAAAAAGGGGCCCAGATAATTAAAGAGGTAAACTAAGATTGATGGGGAGGGAGCGCATAGCTGTCTTGCAGATGTTAGTAAGCTTGGCCTGAGTCCTGAATTCCCTGAATTTCTTGGTGTAAATGCATAGTTTATATAACACAGATTTAGGGTACTCAGTTTATTAATGTTCTCATACCCCAGGACTGTTGTGTGCTTTAAGTAATTTTTTTCCTGAGATGCTTTTATTTGCATCAGATGGCAATTTCTATTTTGTGGTCAGTCTATGAAGTGATACGCCTTATTTTTAATGATTGGGGGCTTGATAAATTTTTTAGAAGTTTTTTTTGGGTCAGTTCTGTGACTGAGTGATTTTGTAACTAACCGAGTGGAAAGGACACTGGACTGGGACTCAGGGGACTTGATTGTTTTCTCTGACAATTTCTGTTGTGACCATGGGCAAGACCCTTGTCTAGTTCCATTTTTCTCATTTGTGGACTCGGTGGGATTGGATTAGATTATCTCTAAAGACCCTTCTAGCTCTAAATGTAGCTGATTTACTAGGTGCAAATGTGCTCATGGTATTTGTGCTGACTTACTGTAGGTGCATGAGCATTCTTGCTTCAAAAGGCATGGTTGAGACTATCTGGGGATATCAGCATTATTTTTTATACTTCAGTTAATTTTCAGTTAACTAAAATTTCAATTCAGATGTTATGTTTTCAGTGTTTTTTTATTTTCTAGTTTTGTAGTTGAATGGTTGAGATTGTTGGATTCAGACTTCCAAGAGGCTCTATTGTAACACCTATATTTAATTCCATTCAGAGTGCAATGACTGAGTATCTGTTTTGTACTCAGCTTTGAAGCACATTCTCGTCCTTAAAGTAGTGAAAGATCTGATTTCTGTTCTTTCTGGCAACAATTGTCCTATTTAAAAAATGTGTTCCGGAGGAAGTTAACTTAATTTAAAATATCTATGGAGTATACATTTAGTAATTCTTAAAGGAAATTTTGAAGTATGATTTTCTCTACTTGTCTGATGTTGTTAATGGTTATTTTGGATCCAAAGTTTAAGAATTTTCATTAAGATTTACCTCTTGAGCTTCTTGAAGGTTTTGGCTAGCTTTTGACTCAAAGATACAGTGTTCATTAGCAGGGTGCTGCTGCAAGTGCTGTCATCTCCTCCTTTCAGCTGACACGTTCCATTTACAACTGAGCAGGACGGACTGTGTTCCTTGCACTTGCAGGTCTTGTCTGAGGAAGGAAAGCTCACTGTATTCCTTCTCCTTAGCATCGTTATCATCTGATATTCTCTTTTTAAAATTGACTATAAAAGGGAGGCATGTGAGTAGCAGTCATGTTACAGAGATAACAAGAAATGAGAAATTTAATTCTGTTTTAATTCATGGTCTGCCATATACATGTCTTTCTTTTTCTTGTTTAAGGTTCTCTTAGAAGCACAAGATATGGCAGTGAGAGACCACAATGTGGAATTCAGATCCAATTTGTATGTAGGTAAGATCTTTAATATTCTTAGTTTTAGAAAATATATTCCAATAGCGATGCGAAGTTCTTTATCTAACAATAATCTTTGATATCTAACTCCTTAGGACTGTGTTTACCAGTGAGAATGCTGATAATAACTTATTCTTCAGCCTTCTACATGCTGTTAGTCTTCTGTAAATGGTCATAATTTTATTGTTTTATTGTTACTTGTTCTGTAATGTGACTGAGATCATGAAACCTATTGCTGATAATTATTAAATAATGGATATCAAGGTGGTACATAGTATGTGGTTTTTTAATCATAATAAAACTAAGAAAAACATAGCTGATTTTTTAAATGAAGTATTGGTCATCCCAAATGAAATATATATAAAGGATCACACGTAGACTTAAAAAATCTTTATTTATGATGTGCCAGGCCAGGTGCTTCATCCATAAAGGTTTCTTATAAATTAAACTTCCAATTACATGGAAAGTCTGTTGATTTATAAAAGGCCTTCAAAGGCTCAGGTGACTCAGATGTGTTTGTCCACCCTTTATTATTATATCCTGAAGCATCATCTCCAGTTTTATATGCCTGTTCCACATCAAATTAAGTTAATATAAGTGAAGATGCTTTGGGAAGCATGAAGCACTGTGCAAAGGTAAGAGATTTTTTAGTACTATACCTTCACACACTTTTTCTAGAAAGAGATCACTGTTTATAATGAAGCTCTCTTGCCCCCTTCCGACACCACAGTAAAGTCGTGTGGTGATTGGAGTTAATGCAGCAGTTACTCCTAACTTCAGCAGTTTTGTAATCAAAGATGGTAATGTCAAAGCAGAATTTTCTCAATCTCCTAAACCTACATATAAGAAGGACTATTTATCTAAGAACATTTAATCTCAAGATTTAGGAACTGCTACTCTACAAATAGAGGGGAAAGGGCTGAATCATTATGGAGGAAGTTAGCTGTGCCTTATAATTTTTCAACAGTTAGAATTTTTAAAGAAATCTAAATTCCACTTTGTCACTTAACCTCTGCCCTACTGCAGAAAATTATTCTGGTTAAGTTAAAATCTTAACTCATCTATAATTGATGCTGGCAACCACACCTACTTCAGAAATTCAAATGAGTTATGATTTTTGATTGAAATATTTTAAAGCTGAATCTTACATAATTATATTCTGATACATGCATAGATGCAGAAGGAAATTAAAACTCAGAAGATGTAGCCCACAGTACTTAATCATAAACATTTTCTTGTGGGAATAACATGAGTAAATAATGCTGGGAGGGCCCAGAATTGATGGAAGACATGCAATGAGTGAAGAGCAAGACCATTTGCTTAAAACCTCTTGGTGATCTTTCCTGCTCTGTGACTCAATGTCAAGTGAAATTTGATTTTTTTCGTTTCATAAGAATATTGACTTCTTAGCTGATATATAACACTTCAAAATGAAATTCAGATGTAAATAAAATGGATTTTTGTCTTTAAATCCATTTCAGTAGTTGTAGTATAGAGAGAGAGAGTGAAGAGCTTAATCTGTCTTCCTAAATGAAGGAGCAAAGTCCAGTGTTGCCTTTAAGCAAAAATAAACTTAACCAATTTTATGTGACTGGGCCTGTAATTCATTGGTCTCCTTATGTACATTTCTGCTGAAAAAGCTCTGCCCCTCCTGTACCCTCTGGTAAGTTCAGATTTGTCTTACGATTTTAGTAAATATTTGATTTATTTAAAATTTTTTTGTTTTTTTTTGCAGTGAGGAGGTGATTAGGTTTATTTATTTATTTATTTAATGGAAGTACTGGGGATTGAATCCAGGACTTCGTACATGCTAAGCACACATTCTACCACAGAGCTCTATCCTTCCCCCTTGTCTTATGATTTTAAAAACTCATTAGCTAAATATTTTGTTGCCTTACTCTATTATGAAGTAAAAAGAGATGTTTACTGCAGGAAGATGAAGTATCTGACCATGACATTCAGGCATCTTACCCCTGTATTTGCCAGACTTCTCTGATAAGAATCACTTGAGGTTCTTACTGAAAATACGGATTCCCAGGCCTCACCACAGACTCAATGGATCTGAAACCCCAGAAGAGAGGCCTGGGTGAGTACTCTAGTGATTCTTATAAAATGTGGGAAACTCGTTTATCAGCTTACCGTCTTTGAAAAGGCCTAGATGTTTCACTCCATAGACTTATTTTAGAGCTTTGAAAGATAGTTACTTGGCTGCCATTTTGGCTCAGCAATAGCTCTTTCTGTTCCCTGAGATAAGTAAGTATGGGCATTTGAGAGAAAGTCCTTTGGTAGCATATGTTCTCACTATATGGTAATTCCTTCAAATACTTGTCTTCAGTCTAAAGCTAATACCTGGTGTTGCGTGACAACAGACTTTGAAAGTTCATTTCCTTTTCAGCCTTACAACGATGACTAATGACACCGTGAATAGGCCTTAACAAGTGGATGTGGACTAATAAAATGTCACTGCTTCGTGCTTCATGACATCTAACGTGGTTTGCTTCAGGGAGAAAGTGACCGACTGACTTCGTAAAATCAGTCTTCTGGGCTAAGAGTGATGAGGGGAAGAGGGAGAGGGTTTTTAAAGTTAAAATGGTCAAGGTTCGCATTTACCTAAATACCAGTAATAGGAAATACTGACAATATTTTAAATATATGATGTCTGTTGGGCATTATCTTTAAAGAACATTATCTTGAACATTATCTTTAGAAGGTTGTTTCCATTTTCCAGATGTCTTAATGTTTTTTCTTTCATTCAAAAGATATTTGAGTGCTTTCAGTGGGTGTACTACCTGTACAGCTAGGTGATGGTGTGTCTTTTATAGCAATTTAAAACATTTAACACACATAGTTTTGTTCTTTGACAGTAATAGTCCTTGGGAAGAATACATTTTGGCTTTTAAAGATAGGCTTTTGTGGAGCTGAAAGAGTGTCCAAGGGAAAAGATTGATTTCAAAGTGAGGTAACCACTTCAGCAGAGGCACATAGGTTGCAGTGAGCAGTAGTTATGTGGCTCAGTGAGTAGAACAGTGTGACCGAAGTAGAGGCTTGACCTGGAGTAGATAACATTGGAAAGGTGGGTTGGGCCTAGATTCCAGGGGCTGAGCAAGGCAGGCTGTGGCATTCAGCTAAAACTGTATTGAAAAGGAACCACAGGAAGTTTTTGGATAAGAGGTTTTTGTTATTTAAGGCAGTGCTCTAAGACTGGTAACTCTAAGCAGTGGTATTGAAATTGTGCTGTGGGACCTTCTGAGTGGGGCCTGGGGCAAACAGAAGGGCTCCTTGATATCTTGGTCACTGCTGTATCCTTAGAGCTCAGGATAGAGCCTGGCACCCAGTAGGGGCTAAGAATTTCTATTTGTTGGGTGAATGAATGGCAACACACTTTTGGGTCTACCCCCACCCATGTTTCAGTAGGAACAGATCCAGATGAAAAAGGGCATCTACAAGTTGCCTTATTTTAATTGAAATGGTTCTGTTCAGAAGCAGTTTGAAACCCCTGTCATACAGAATCAGTGGAGGGGAGACTGGTGGAGGGGAGACCATACACCGATTTGGAGTCAATGTGGCGAAGTCCTGATTTCACTCAGGCCTCAGAGTGGCTGTGTTGTGTGTTCCCATTCCAGAGTATTAAAGAATCCTGGTGTTTCAGAAGAATTAATGTTTTTGCTTTTACATAAAAAATGGTGGCATTATGTGCATAAGGATAGGCAGATGGTATTTTATGGCTTAAGGATGAAATCATAACTGGCATTTAGCAGATATTGAGTGTCTGCTCTTAAGTGTTTTGGGAAAGATGGGGGGAAAATGGTAGTTAACATAGACCCTGATAGGGTTGGTCGTTGTGTTTTGATAGATTGTGTAGTGCTGCACAATTAGCTAATTTTGATACTTCTTTCACTGGAGTAGTATTCTTTATTCTCAAAGTATTCGGAAAGTGGTGCTCAAACTGGGTAAAGTAGCAGTTTTGGATAAAAGCAGCCATCATGTATGTAAAATCTTCTTAGAGGCTTTCTACACTCTTCCCAGTGTCACTATTCTTTTTTGTAGGTTTCCTCCTCACAGGTGGACCCAGGGCACATGGTGATACTTCATTATAAAGTGATTTGTATACTGCCGCTTTTTCTTTGGAAAATTAAAAAAAAATTTTTTTATTGAGGTATAATTGACATACATCCATTATATTTCAGGTGTACAACATAATAATTCAGTATTTGTATGTACTGTGAAGTAATCACCACAAGTCTTGTTAACATCAGTCACCATACATACAGAATTTTTTTTCTTATGAGAGAACATTTAAAAACTATTCTCTTAACAACTTTCAAATATACAGTACAGTATTATTAACTGTAGTCACTGTGCTGTACATAACATCCCCATGACTTAATTATTTTCTAATTGAAAGTTAGTACCTTTTGACTCTTCACCCATTTCACCCACCTCCCCCCCAGCCCCATCTTTGGAAATTCTTACATCCATTTCTTTAGTGCCCCGAAGATGAAGTAAATAAAAGGGCAGTAGTTCTCCCCTTGTCTCACTGAGACCCTACGCAGTTTTCTTAATCATTTTCATCCTTAGATTTCTCTTGGCCAAAGCTAGATGCTTCTGCTGAAACCCATTTCATGAGAGAATTGTAGTTAGAGGGCTGTGGAGCACATACTTTGATGTAGTCCCTGTAACATAAAGTTCTGTCACAGTAAGAATAAAAGAATGGTGAGTATCAAAGTGGATTAATTTGATATGTGTTCTGTAGATTTTGCCTTTTTAAAAGGCTTATTAAATTTGCTTAAAAGAGTAAGACTAAATAAATTCAGAAGATAGTAGAAGGTGGTTACTACTGTGATTTACTGTGAGTGAACAGGTAAATGATTTCTTCTTGTACTACTTAAAAGGTTTCTTCCAATTTTACAAGGTCAAACTTTGACACGTAGAACGGGGGAGGAGACATGAGGGGGCAGATGTGATGCAGGAGTTCCTAAAACTGGCTATGAATCAGAATTTGCTTAGGAGTGGTGTTTGCTCAGGATATGATTTCCAAGGCCCAGCCTTGGATTCGCTTAGAATCTCCAGAGATGGGGTCTCAGCATCAGCATTTTAAATATGTTCCCTGGGTTAGTTTGATTCAGTTAACTTGAGGACAGCATTTGGGAACCACTGGTTCCAGGGACTTCTCATACAATTAGAATAAAATCAGAACTTCCCTCAGCCTGCAGTGCTCTGTTGATCTTGCCTTTATCTCTGACCTCTTCCCCTTGTTTGTGTCATGCTTCGCGTTCCTACACGTGATTTAGCAGCTCCTCTTCCTAAAACAGGCCAAGCACATTCCCACCATTGGGCCTTTGCTCTTGCTGTTCCTTCTGCCTGGAACTCGTTGGCCCTAGATAGTTGCATGAGTGATTCATTCTGGACTTGGATCAAATGCCTCTTTCTCAAGGATGCCCCTTGACACTGCCCAGTCTGAAGTTGCCCCCCAGCACCCCATCAGTCTTTGTCACGTAGTTGTTCTGTTTTATTCGTAGCACTGTCACTGACCTAAACGATGTTGTTTGTCTTCTGTCTTTCTCCTTTAGAGTATGCGCTGCGTGGAGGCAGGGCCCTTGCTAGTCTTGTTCACTCTTTTTTGTTTCTCTAGCACTTGGAGTAGAGTCTGGTCCTTAGGAAGGAAGGACTCTGGAGAGACCAGCCTGCTTTCACCAGCCATGAGCTCATGTAGTCTTAGAATCCTGTGTGGGAGAGGACGGACATTCCTCAGCTGGTCAGGCTTTATCTTGTGGATGCAGTCATTTCCTATTATTCTCTTTTTCTTCCCCATCTAGCGGAGTCCACTTCAGGGCGCGGCCAGTACCTGAAACGCATCCGATACCATGGCAGAGGTCGCTTTGGGATTATGGAGAAGGTTTTTTGCCATTATTTTGTGAAGTTGGTGGAAGGCCCCCCACCTCCACCGGAGGCACCGAAGTCAGCAGTCGCCCATGCCAGAGAGTATATCCAGGAGCTTCGCAACCGGACCATCATTCACACTCTGTGATGGGGGTATTCAACTCCACAGTGTACATATTTTAACATTTATTTCCTAAAACCAACAAAAATTAAAGACAAATGCTTTTTATAATTTGTCATTGAATTATTGAAATACGAAACACAACTGCTAGTTTTACATGAATATTTATAAGGCTTTGCCCAGCTCTCATGAGCCTCTGGGTGTATTTTATGCATTTGCAGCTTGGAAGGGAAAATCTCCTTTAAACATAGTAACAGACTATGTAATTCAGAAGGCTTTTTTGAGTACCGTATGAAGGGAACGTTAACTTTGCAGCTAGTGCCCCGCAGGTGGCAGCTTTGATACTGGACTTGAGTAGAAAGTTGTAAGAAAGCTTGTCTTTGTTATTTCACTTGACTTTTCTCTTGGGACTGGTGAAGGGGTGGTGGAGGTGAGCATTGCTGCATGTTGTTTCACTGCAGTATTTTAGGGCATTCTGTTGTTTTGTTTATCCTTTAATTGTTGGCATATTTCAGTGGATGAAGGATTGTATTTTCCTTTACTGTTTTAGCAGTAACTTGGAATTACAGGAGTTTATTAGAAATATTAATCTAAAACTCTGAAAGCCCTTTAACTTAGAAAGTTTCATTCTGGTTAAAGACTTTTATGTCTCCTTCCAACAATAGTTTCTATTGCTTGGATATCTTGTTTAGTACTGATTAATTTTTCAGAGTGAATTCAATTTCCTAGAGAGGAATAGAACCAATTTCGGGATTGCGTTTTAAAATCAGGCAGTAGGTGGCACTGACTTCCCTCTTGTTAGCATAAAATTTTTAGAATTAGTGTTGAACACCACCTGACTCTCATTGATACATGTGTTTTCTTTTTCGTTTTTCAGTTTGATTAGGTAGAATTGTTACAATTTGCACATATACAATATCTTGCATGTAAATACGTATATATAATATACTGCACATATTTTTAAAATTTACATATATGTAGTTTATTGTTTTTAAGAACTTTTAGAGCTTTAGCTTTTTAAGCTTACATAGTTATCAAAGGAATAAAGCCAACCACAAAATAAGAGTTAATTAAAAAAGATACATACACCCTGCTATTAACTGCGACGTTATTTATAAATGCCAAGATATGGAAGCACTTTTTTTAAAACAACTTTACTGTGGTATGATTCCTGTACAATAAACTGCACATAATTCAGATGTACAATTTGATGAATTTTGATAGATATATACTCCAGTGGAACCACTGCCACCACATCAAGATAGCTAACATTTCCATTGCTCCCCAAGAGGTGCAAATTTCAAACTCCCAGTTTATCCCTTCCCACCTCCTTTACCCCATAAATTTGTTCTCTATGTCTGTGAGTCTGTTTCTGTTTTGTAGATAAGTTCATTTGTGTCCTTTTTTTTTTTTAGATTCCACATTTAAGCAATATTATATGGTATTTTTCTTTCTCTTCCTGACTTCACTTAGAATGACAGTCTTTAGGTCCATCCATGTTTCCGCAAATGGCATTATTTTATTTTTTTATGGCCGAGTAGTATTCCATTGTATGTATATACCACATTTTCCTTATCCAGTCAACTGTCATTGGATATTTGAGTTGTTTCCATGTCTTGGCTATTGTAAATAGTGGTGCTGTGATCATTGGGGTACATGCGTCTTTTCAAATTATATTTTCTTCTGGGTATATATGGCCAGGAGAGGGATTGCTGGATCATATGGTAAGTCTATTTTTAGTTTTTAAGGAACACCCATGCTGTCCTCCATAGTGGCTGCACCAATTTACATTCCCATCAACAGTGTAAGAGGGTTCCTTTTTCTCTACATCCTCTCCAGCATTTTTCATTTGTGGACTTTTTAATGATGGCCATTCTGACTGGTGTGTGGTGATATTGCATTTTTCTAACAATTAGTGATACTGAGCATCTTTTCATGTGCTTGTTGGCCATCTGCATGTCTTCTTTGGAGAGATGTCTATTTAGGTCTTCTGCCCAGTTTTTGATTGGGTTGCGTATTTTTTTGTTTGATATTAAGCTGTATGAGCTGTTTGTATATTTTGGGAATTAGTCCTTTGTCAGTTGTGTCATTTGCAAGTATTTTCTCCCATTCTGTAGGTTTTTTGTTTTATTGATGGTATTCCTAGCTGTGCAAAAGCTTTTAAGTTTAATTAGATCCTGTTTGTTTATTTCTGCTTTTATTTCCATTACTCTCAAAGCTGGTTCGAAAAATATTGCTGTGATTTATGTCAGTGTTCTGCCTGTGTTTTCTATACCTGTGTTTTCATTGACAAGAGGCACTCTTTTTCACAGCCCACTGTTTCTCACAGTTTTTTGCAGAGGTAGAACCTGGGGTGTGTGCTTGTTAATACAGACGTCTGGGTCTTGCCCCAGTGATTCTGATTCACTCGAAATGTATGTTTTAAACAAGCAATTACAGGTGATTCTGTTGTAGGGTACCACACTTTGAGAATACCCCTCTAGTTGAATGAAGAATGTAGTGTTAGTGCCATGTTTGAAGGTGGCATTAGTAATAGCTACTGTTAATTGGAACCTCATTATTTGACATGCTCTGTGCTCTATTTTTTACAGCTCTTCACAACATCCTGCAAATGTAGATACTGTTTTGCTACTTTATAAAGAAACTAAACACACAAATTCAAATAACTATCTCAGGGTCACACAATGTGTGAATATTGAGGCTATGATTTAAACTCAAGGTTTCTCAAGTACCTGGTTCTGCAGACCTAATGAATATATAGGTGGGTTTCTGTGCCTCTGTAGTTAACCTAATGTGCAGGTAAAAAGGCAAAGGGCTCAGTGAAATAAGCCACTGAAGTTTAGGACAGATTCATTCTGGGTCCTAAGCTATTGCAGCATGGAATCTCGGAAATGACAGGGGAGTGGTGGAAGGAGACCCTCATTGTAGTCCTGGCACGCTCATTAACTAGAAAGGAGACTCTGGGCAGATCTCCTCCTCCCTGGCCTCTATGCCACCCGTCTGGAAAACAAGAGACTCGGTGTGCTCTGTAGACTGCCTTCTTCAGAACCACCTGAAGGACTTACTGGAAGATGCAAATCCCTGGACCCGGCTCTCAGGCTGAGTGAGTCAGGATCTGGAGCGGGACACCAGGGGCTTGCATTTGTAACGAGCGCCCTGGTGATGAGCGGCTGGACAGTCCCTGGGCCAGGTGGTCTCTGGGCTCGCTTTCAGTGCAGGTGTACCACGAGTCTTAGCCTTGGAGTTTTTGACTTCCCAGGCTGTGACTAAAACATGTGAAGTGGTAACGTGGACTCCATAACTATAAATTATGTAGATGAAGGTGCTGCTTCAGTCAGGCTGTTAAAGCTATTTTGAAAGAGTTAAGTGGGAGGGTATAGCTCAGAGTTAGAGCACGTGCTTAGCACGCACGAGGCCCTGGGTTCAATCCCCAGTACCTCCACTAACATTAAATAAATAAACTTCATTAACCGCCCTCTGAAAAGATACATATATAAATAATAGTAACACACACAAAAGCTATTTAAAATGAAACAAACCTTGGATTCTAAGGAAGTTTGCTTGCGATAGGTTAAGTCTTCATTTGGAACTGCTTCTATTGTGTTAAAAAGTGTAATGATAGCTAACATGTAGCACTATGTACCTAGCACTATTTTAAGCACTGTATATACATTATAAAATGAATCTTTCCCATTGTGACTGAATACATCTGGTTAGTTTCATGGCTGAGGGTGCACTTTCTAATGTAAATGAACATTTTGGTCCCCACTTAAAATTTAACTTTGCATTTTCAGAAACTAATGTCTATTAACTATTCTTTAATGGCATTATCTGAATGCTTGTAATTTCCTTCTTTCTTTGGCAGAGAATTATGATAGACTTAAACTTTTTTGTTGGAGTGTAGCACATTCAGAAAACTCACCAGTCACAAGTCTAGCTCAATAAACGACCAATTGGTGAACATGGCTGAGTAACCAGATGAAGAAACAGCATGATAGCAACCCTGAAGTCCCCTTCATGCCCCCTTCAGTCACTACCTACCTCTCTTCCCTAAAGGTAACTGTTAGCCTGATTGCTATCATATGACAGATTTTCTTTTTCAAAGGTTAGCTTTTGTTTTTTTCAACTCAACGTATTTTATTGGACAGCCATTGTATGCCTGGTGCTGAACATACATGCAGCGAAAGAGGAATCAGCTCCTGCCCCATGGAGCTCACACTCTGCTGGGAAAGGCAGACTATAAATCAGTAATTGCAAGTGTTCATTGTGCTGTGTGCTGTGAAAGCAGAGGAATGGGGCTATGGGAGCAGACGTTGGAGTGCCCTGAAAAAGTCACTGGTTTTTTGGGAAAGTTTATTTTTTTGAAGAGACAGGGGAAGGGTAAAAATGAAAAATGTCGTGTGGATCAGTAAAGGATTATGTTGTCAGAATGCTAACTTTTGAGTTTTGTTTTCAATGGTATAAATGTTAGAACCACTTTGTCCTTCTACAAGTTAAGATGTATGTGGGATGTGGGATGTGGATGGGGAATATACTGGAGCTGACTTTCTGAGTCCCCAGCTAAGCCTGAGGGGAAAGACATTTGAAGAGAGTGTCTTGCGAACATTGCAAAATAAAATGGAGGTGTTTTTCTATAAGTGATGGAAAATGATTAGTTTTCCCCAAGCATTTCATTTTAATAACAATTTTAGTTGATTAAGAAGAGCTCAGTCACATGTGCAGGTTTAAAACAGGAAATGTTTTTGGAGTAGGTGACCTTCCAGAAAAAGTCTAAAGCAGGACACAATTGCGGAGGTGATATTATTAACACCTCTAGGAGTGGGCACCTCTTGTTAAGCCTGTCTCTGATGTAGCTGTCTAGGGTCAGATTTCAGAGAGAGAGGGCAAAGCAGCCTATAGGAAGTTACATTAATACATAACTTAGGCTATATCTGTTACGGAATCACAGATACATTGGATGGAAGGGAGGATATATTGGTAAGTGAATCATACGTACTCAAGTAAAATGTTTTTTATGTTTGTTCAATAGTGACTTGAATGAATTGCTATTTTCACTTATGGCCAAAGGAGACTCATAAAAATTCCACTCTGGAAAGTAAGGGATGGCAATA